ATTCCTGCTTGAGTCTTGACAAGCTGTGCAACGTCGGGCAAGTTACTTAGAAGTCACAGAGCCTGTTTGCTCATTACCAAAATGGGGTTGATAAGAAGGCCTATCTGCCAAAAGTACTGAAGTAAGTATTTATGAAGCCTTCCTGGGTGCATTGGTAACCGCTCAACCCCAAATAATTCTTTCACCAACTGTCACTCACCGCCCCTGCCACACTAAAAAAGAGTACTGTTAATGCCCAAATCCTTGGTGAAGTTTAATGGCTAAACTGCCAAACCATTCACATCAAGCCTTATGAATAATATTGCCAAGCCTTTGATGTAATTTCCAAGAGGTAATAATCAATAACGTAAAGACAGAGGGATAGTATGTATGGAAAGTGCCAACTATTCATAACCAAATTAGAATATGGCTATGGTTTGAAATCAGTCCTCCAGCCCCCACACACCACTCTATTATTAACTCTCTCCATCCTCCTATCTCAGGTAGAATGAAAAGTGTTGTTTCCTCTGGTTTAGGTCGACACAGCCTTGCAAAGGGCACTGCTGGGGTTTTTTGTTTGATTTTTTTTAATTATCAAGGTTTACTAAGAGATAAAGTTATTATGAGATTATGCAGCACTCTGACGAGTTAACTCTGAGTTTCAATGTGAAACATGTTAAGATCCCAGCATGCAAATTAGCTGATATCTGCCCGCTCTGTGTATATATAAAATTTTTAATGTACTTATCATGGATTTAAAAGATTAAGATATTAAATAATGGAACTCATTTCCAAAAGAAAAACCTGTCATAGATACCCTAGTAAGTATTAACGAAATATATGTAGGAGGATATAAATATTACATTTCTTGCGTATGGGAATTTTTGGGGTTTTTTTAGTGGTATATTTGATGATGATCCCACTTTTTTGCCTTTTCATAATTTTTAAATTTCTTCTTCTCTTTCTTTTGTTCTTCCTTTCTCTTAAAAAACTTTTCTGATTTCTAAAGTAACATATTCCCATTATAGGACACTTATGAAAATAGAAAAGGAGAAAATAATCTCAACATGCATAATACTTTAGCATTGTCTTATACCTTTTCTATATATTTTCAAATAATTAAGATTTTAAATAATCTCATATCCTGCTGTTCCTACTTAATAAAACAGCATTTTCCTGTGTCAGAAAGCACTCTGTTATCATTTTAATTGCCACACCATATTCCTTCTTGAGGATATATTATAATTTACAAGATGTATTTTACTATAAAATAACCCCATGACCATCTTCTCATGTAAGGCAGTACAGATCAGTTTTCGGAGCATGACCTCTGGCACCAGACTGGCTGGTTGAATCCTCATTCTACTCTTTACCAGCTGAATAACATTGGGCTGGTCACTTACCATCTCTGTTCCTCAATCACTTTATCCGTAAAAGGGAATAACAATACTGTCTCCCAGAGCTGATGTGAAAGTTCCATGAGTTACTATGGCAAATAGTAACTGGTGGATAATAAATATCACTAAGCTATTATTACTTATCTACATGTCTTATTATTTTCTTGGTGCTATCTCATGGCAGTATAGTCTATGAGTCAAAGAGTACATTTTAAACATGATGAATGCATACCACCAAACCGCACCCAGAAATGTAACCATTCATACCCCTCAGCAGTGAAAGACAATATCCCTCCCCTATACCCACAGAAGCATTTGAGCACTCTCATTCTTTAAATCTAAGGAGGTATTTAAATTGGTAAAATGGTATCTCATGGCTTATTAATCTGCATTTCTACTGGTATAAATGAGGCAAAATATTAATCATGTATTTTTTAGCTATTTTATTTCCATTTTTTTATGCTTTTTTGTCCAGTTCTTAAATTGTTAGTGGTGTTTTTTCAACTTGTTGCATAGTTTTCCTTTCCAGTTCCTCTTCTGATGTCTTAACATATGGACAATTTGATATTTATGCAGTCAAACCTATCATTCTTTTGTGACTTTTCCATAACTTTTACATTTAGAACATTCCTTTGCCCTCAGTAGTCAGATAGATACCTACCTGTATTTTCTTCATTTTTATGGCTTAATGGGGTTTTTTTTGCATTTAATTTTTTACCCTTTAACAATTAACTTTGTTGTTTGGTACGAAGATAGTGTCTAACTTAATTTATTTTTCCCAAATGGCTACTAATTACTACTCTATCATTAGTTAAAAATCCTGTCTTTCCTTTAGAGTTGGTTGATACTGTAGTTATATTGTACAGGGCCTCCCTGAGCAATCTATGGAAAATCTAACATCTGCTTGAGAGCGAATACACACAAGCATGTGACCTAGTGCACACGCGAAAGCACGTGCGCGCGCACATACACACACCTCTCTCTCTCTCTCTCTGTCTTTGCTCTCCCACTTTGTTTTGTTCTTTTATTCCTAGCACTTATCACCAACTGACATACTATCATCTTATGTTTGTTTGCTTGTTTGTTATTTGCTGAATTAATGAATGCATCAAATTCATAAAATATGTACAGTTTGGAGTCTTACATGATTATCTGATCCATTGTTAAAAGATTAAGATAATCTTCTACTGTGACATGCTTCTTAAATCATAACATCTTGCAAAGTATGTTTTAATGACTGATGTTAAGTCTAGGGCAATCATCCTTGCTTGGTTCTTGAAAAAAAAAAAAAACTGATGCCTGGGTTCCACCTAGATGTCTGGAATACAGTCTGGGCATACCGATTTGTAAAAATCCTCCAGATGATTCTAATATGTAGCCAAGGTAGGCAGACACAGATCCAGGGGACTTACTTCTATACTTAAAAGTAAATTTAAAATATCCTAAACATATGATTAATAAGAATACCTAATAATTAAGATATAAATATATGTGCATGTATATGTACAAATACGTGTATGTGTGCACATGTAGGTATGTATGTGCATGCACACACAAACACACACACACACACCAAGAAAACTCACAAACGTTCCCTAAATCACCCGATGGCATGAAGTTTTCTCTAAATGAAAAAGGCTCTCTTCCAAAGATTGTGTGACCTTGGGTGAGGGTCAGATCCAAGCTGACCACTCCCTCTGCCCCGAAGGCTACACAGTCAAAGGTGCCTCCAGAGCATCTGAATGGTCATGTCCTGAGCTCCTCGTTCTGCCCAACTTTCCTGTTTATAGACCCCATCTGAGCAAAGTGACGGTTCTCTAGAAAAAATAATGCACAGAAACTCAGAGTTGTTAGGCCACTTCAGAGCTCTTTCTCTCAAGGAACCTGAGACTAGATCAGGTGAAATGATCAAAGAGTGTTTGTTCATTCATCTTTTGAGATGACAAAACAATCAAATGCCAAGCAGAGAAAATGATCTTGGACATCACGCACACGTACAAGCGTGTATATAAGTGCACACACTTCCACTCTAAGGAAGAATTTATGTCAAAATAGGTTTCTCTTGGGGAGGCCAGGAGGATCATTCCCATCCCGCAGTCCTGGTCACACAATGTCTACTGTTGCTACCCTTATGCTTCCCCAGCCTCCACCCCTGGTCCTGCCGCTGGGGTCACCCTCCACACTTCGAGCTGCACACTCCCTGAGGTCCTAGCAGTTTGGCCCAGTGGCTGCCTGCTCACGGAAGCTCTCCAGCTAGCCCAGAACCTGCACAAACCCAGTTTCCTCCAGATTTACCCCCTCCTGGCCCATCCAAGGCCCTCAGATTGGAAAGTGGGCCCCAGAGCCCAGCACTGCACAGCACCAAGTGGGTGTTATGTAATACAGCGAGCTCAGGTGCCTGTACCTGAAGGAGCTGCCCAGTCATCTGTTGGTCTGCTAACCGCAGTACAGCTGCCGGGCTTCTAACGCCTGGAGGCACCTGGGATGGAGATGAAGGTTTTGAAATCAGGAAAATCTGGGTGTGAATCTGGGATCTGTTACTTAGTAGCTGGATGCCCTTG